AAAAAAAAAAACAGACACGTGCATGCAAAAATTATGGATAAACAAAGGCGATTGATGATGTGCAATCGATTTTGCATTTTTATTCTCTCTTCTTTTATGTTATTGAATCCTTTTGCACAATAATTTATTGGTTAATAATAACTGAAGCGTTACTCTTTTTAAATTTTACAATTAATTTTGAATAAAATAATCAACTGATTCACAAATTTATTTGTTTCTTATTACTTTATTAATCTTTATTAATAATTATCAGAAAGAATTTATGAATGTAAATCGATACAATTATTATATATATCTTTATTTAATAATAATTTAATATCGTGTATTATATAATATGATAATAATTTATGAATTATTACGTGTAAAACTTTGCTAATGATATTAATGCAATTAGCTATTGTGCAAAAGAATCATGAATTGATCGTTTTGTATTTCGATACGTATTTGGCTTCTTGATGAGCTTGATGTCAAAACGACAACGATAACGATCGATAAATGTACCCGGCCTGGCTGTCACGAAGAAAATAACGCCTCGTAACGCAAGCGTTTCCGGTTCAATCCGGTCGACGCGACCCGTTTCGACGAAAGGAAATTTCTTTTCTACAGTATCCCGTTATCGACAATAAAAACGAAAGCGTAAATCACTTTTTACGAACACAACCCTCTTCGGTACATCAAAGGGTATTATCTGATGGTCTTCCTGTCAATTAAAATCTTCACTGACCAAGAAAATTTTTGTTCTCCAACTTCGAATTACTAGATGTTCTTTATGCTCATGATTACTAACTTCTTCTCGTAATTTGATGTAGAAAAAAATATGAAAATAAAACGATGCACCGGATAAAATTATAAATTTAGTTTAAACATAACATAATTGATTTTTAATCTCGTTCTTAGAAGTTCTATAAATTTTTTAATTTTGATTTAAAAAAAAAGAAAGAAAACGGACAATTGAAAATCCAAGAAAATTTTTTGTTCTAATTAATTTAGTAAACGCAATTTAATCTTTATATAAAATAATTGATCTTAAACGAGATTCTAAAAAGCTCGATGCACATATATTCACGCACGGAAATAAACCGATTTCCGTATTAGCCAATGTTCCCTCTGTCTCTGGACAATCATTAATTTGATATTCGATCGTAACCGAATTAAATCTTTATTGGGAACAGCAAAAAAATCGTAGAAATAAAATTATTGATAATATACAGTTCAACAATTTAAAATATTTCTAATTATTTATTCGAGTAATTGTTATAAAATTAATTCATAAATACGCACGGTGCATCGCTTAACCTCACAATAAATTCTATAGACGCGACTAGTACATATAGGGATCAGCTGCTGTCTACTCGTATAGTCAGCTACGTGTGTATGCACGTACACACATAGAGAATCTTTCTAAAGACTGAACGGTGTCGTTTTTCTCAAAGGGTGATTCCTCGAATTCGAGAAATATATATCCGCGCGCGTCTGAATCCTGGAGGGTCGTGTATTGATTTTTCGCGTGGATAGCCGCGTGTGTAACGTCTAACCTCATTTCCCGTCGAGTAATCGTATACCCGGGCTGGTATTGTGACGTATCGAGCTCTCGATCGTATCGCTGACGCTTCGCACGATGGTGAACGCGAAATCCCGCCTAATGGCGGGAGTTCGTTTAAAAAACGTATCATCAGATAGAATCGAGATCGATTGCGCGAGGCGAACCTTTCAACTTTCGTTACAACATCGAATGCCTCGCTTCGAATAGCGTGTCGTAGACAATCATAACCGCAATTTCATCAACGGAAAAATCGTCATGAAAATCCGACGAAAAAAGAAATGAACGCGCGCATTGATCACGAACACACGTACGCGCGTAGAAACATCGACGGAGATAGTGACGACGACGACGATGACGAAGATAACGACATTCTACTACCACGGAATCGTCATCGATCGAAATGTTATACATGCCGTATCAGGGAATTTCTTTCTGTTACCTTTTCGATTCTCGGAATGGTTCTCAACACGGGAAATGCGCGTGGATGGTGCACGAGAACTGTGACTCACCTCGTCTTGCGCGGCTCCCGCTGCGGAATCCTGGTACCGAAAAAGAGTTGCAGCTTCTCTGCGACTTTCGAACACGATAGCACGGAAACAGAGACGCGATAGACGAGTTACGAGACGCAAGGAATTTTGCCCGAACTTGTTACGGACTTTTATCCCTCACGACGATTCTGACGTTTAATTTGTTTCGATTTTTTTTTATCTCTTTAACCGACACGACGTAACTTTCGTTGTTGTTCCCTTCTTTTCTTCGTTTGCCCTTCTCGCTTCCGACGTGACGTGTGAAAACGCACCACGAGAGACGAGACTAACGAGAGACCGTACCGTGTTCTCAAAGGCACCGCACGATTACTATTGGCCCGAATACACGACTCAGACTACAGACTGGTCAATGGGAATGCGCACCGCTTCATGCGCGGTATACAGCGGATCGAACCGGTTATGGACGGTCTACCGACATCTATCTTCGAAATCGTGATATAAAAAGTTTATGATCGAACAACCTTTAATCGACCTTGGATAAAACCAACTTTCACTTTATCGAGCGAGTTTCGTCACGTTTCAGACCTTCCTAACCTTAAGGGTTTGTTCTATCGGTTCTGCAGGGATTCGCGATATCTATTGTTACTAGTTGTCTAGTTACTTTATCAAAGTAGAGTCGTTACATATGGATTTAGTGATATAGATAATTTTCGTTATCTGATATGTCACGTTGCTATTTACTTTATTTCTTTTTTTAATTTTATATAATATTAATGATATTTTTATAAAAAATACTAGCGTATGTAACGTATAATAATAAAATATGCAATTTCTAATATGTAAATACATAAATATCACTAGGTAATATAGATTCGATGAAAATGTTTGTTATTTGTAATATTAATATGCGAGATGAAACCGGTCTTGTAATCAAATGACGCTTCTACAATAATTATCACGAGGCTTAACAGGAACGATCCAGCTAGATCTAGTTTGAACAGCATGGAACGATACAAAAAGAAAGCTTCGAGCTCCGAAAAAGAGATTTGCGCAAATCATTACACTGTGAACATCGTATTTTCTACATTTATTTTTTTTTAATTTTATTCGACAACTATTAAATATAATGTAATATATAACTGTACTTAAAATGTCCAATCGATCCAATATAACGATCGATAATACTTTGTTAAAGTACATGTAATCTCTCGCACTTGATTTCGATTATCAAATAATAATTATATTATTACTGTCGAACGAATCGATGTTATAGAATAATTAGAATAATTAGTATATAATTTACGAATTATAACGCGAATTATAACGATTCGTATCGTTATAAATAACAATTCTAAATTTAATACTTTAATTATTTAGATTAAAACTTTTTTATTTAGATTAAAACGCTTTACAATTCGTACGACGAATTGAATTTTAATCAAGGACACGGATCGCATTCAGAAACCCTACCATCAGCGTCACTTTAAAAGTAAATTAACGATCAAAAAGACGAAGAAGCTCTCACGGATGTTCTTTTGTAACCATCAAAGTGTGCAGCAGTCTATATCTACATCACTACGATTCAAGGTAATTCCGAGTTGCATTACGTTGTCGGGCGTAAATCTGAAATTCAATTGCATTCTGGACCGTCACGTCCCACTTTCATTCCCTTCTCCCTCGTTGATCAGTTACCATTTACCTCGTTCCCGAGATTAGTCTGCAAGAATCCCAGATCGGTTCGAACATCTCTCTCTCCTCTTCTCTCCTATTCTCCATTCCTCGATCCGATCGATGCCATCACCCCCCTCCCTCCCCATAATCGAGTCAAATATGAGAAGAATGGAGCAACGAAACGGAGGTGCTTCTCTCGAGAGAGCTTCGAGAGAAACGGTCTGTTTTATGAAATTCACTTTGACGCGAATGAGAGAGATTAAATTTACGAGGGGGCGGGCGTACGAATTGCAACGAGATCTCTCAAATGGAAGGGACGTTTTGACTTGGAGGGGGGAGGAGGAAATCGCGAGCTATCGCCTCTGACAGCATCCATCCTATCATTTGACGACATCAAGGTAAAACGAAAATCTTTTTCCTCCCGTCTTGCCAACGCCCGAGTAATCCTCCCCGGAGATTACCCGGCCGAGCGTGCCTTTATTTATGTCTGGTTAAAAGGATTTTAATACACGTCGAGCGTCGGACGTTGCACCCGCATTCTGCCGTAGTAATTCAAAAAGACGCGAACCATATTTCTTAACGGTACCATGGGCCACGACGAGGCCGCAGCGGGATATTTCCGTAAATGCTAAATGCGGGATAACATCCGCATTTATCGCGGATTCAACGCGATATCATGCAACGTGATCATCCTTTTCCATATTTAATTTTTATCGCTTCATCAACCATTATTAATCTTGTTGAGAAATCTTCCAATCTTTTTTAATTGAAAAGTTCTTTCCATTTACTTGGCGTAAGGTAATCGTTTTTTGATATATTTCGATTGCCAAAATTATTTTTCCTTTCGTGTTCCGCTGGATTTTTAAATCGTGCATTTTAAATTGGGACACATTATTAATTAAAAGATAATTTAAAAGATAATTTAAGCACTTTGGAAAGTTTCCGATAGAAGAGTTCTCTGAAACGATTTGCATTATATTTAAGGTGGTTTCTTTGAGTGATGAATAATAATCAGATACGAAATGGTTAGCTTTTAGAATACATAATCACGAAACTTGTTAAAAGTGAATTACTTCTCGCTTTTGCTGAAAAATTCACTTGAATAAATAATAATTAAAAAATAAAAATGGTTTAAACGTATTTAATAATTTCCAAGTGTTCATGATAGGAAATATTTACCGTTTCCTCGTTAAAATTTTAATTAAGACTTGTTAAAAGTCAGTTGCGAATGTATAGAAATTGATTCTAATATATACATATACAGAACCATTGATTTTTATAACGGTACAAATTAAAACACAAATTAAATTAATTATGAAATATTAACAACACGAACGCAAAATACGAAAATATAAAAGCGATGGAAGTCAGCGGTGTGAAATATTATACCAGACTTGACATTCTTTCTCGTTATATCTCGTTTACGAGTTTCTCTGATACGATACGTTGCATCTGAATCTATCCCCTATCCTCCTGCTCCACTATTCGCCTTTGGAATCTTCGTGAAAAGATATATATCTCCTTTAGTATATTCATCATAAAAATGTATATTTATGTATATTTTCACCGGTCTGCTACGTGGAATATGTATTGTTACGACGCACTCCACCCCACACTCCTCCCTACCCCCTCGATTACATCGGATTTGCAGGAAGTGGCATACGCGAGCTTGTTCATTCGTACGTGGGGGAATACGTGGTTTGTAATATGCGTGCAACGTCGGGAGCATATTTTTTCTTACGCTTCTTACTCCACCTTACATCCACCCCTATGTAGTAGTCGATGTGTTTTTTACATTGGGAATTCTTCGCTTTGGAGGGAAGCTTTTATAAAATATTTATAAAAAAAATTACCAAGGAACGATATTTAGTCTGTCAACCGTTATGAAGAATCGTTGTAAACGTTGCAGAGGGGACAGGCTTAAAGCTATTTCATGTAATTTCTTTTTTTTTTTTTTTTTTTGTATATAGAAAACTCGAATGCTGATCGATATCACTCGCTGATGTTTCTCTCTGTATTCCACTTGTTTCGTCTCGTTTGCTTTGTCATTTTCTTTCTTGTTGTTCATTTTGTATACAACATTTTGCTACAAGATTTATATCTGTTTTTTAGTCACGATATATTCGAATATATTGAAAGATGGCTTACATTGATATATTGGTATATTTGTCGGAGACATCTTCAGAGAATTGATTTGAAAAGATCAAAACGAAGGTAAAAATTGATGTACAAACGTGTCGATTTAGATTTATTTATTAAACAGTTTAAGTTCGATGGAACTGGAAGAAAAGGCGGTGATAGAAAGCTGTATCATTGTCTCACTTTGTTTATAACGTGAACTTAAGCAGCTTGTAATTTAATAAATTAATCTCTAATAAAATATTTTCGTGTATTTGTTTTCTTCCCTAGAATAGACTCCTCAAACAAATATTATGTATATCTTCTTATATTATTTAAACATATTTGACTAAATTACAACAACGTAAAATAAATCAAGAAGAATACAATTCTAAATAGTTGAAAAGTTTGTTTCATTATTAAAATTGTATCGGTCGGTTGTTAATCTTCCTGATGGATAAAAAAATTGAATCGAGGCAGGGAACTTTTAAATGAATACGTATGCAACGTATTAAACGGGAATGAGCTTCGAACGAAGTTCGCGTCAAGGATAAGATTAATGTACATTTTTTAACTCGGTCGGAAATTGGATAAGTTCGTGCAATGTTGCAAACATTATTCATGATGAAAACGTTCCCCTGTTTCAAATGATCGCTACCTTCAAGCGATGATGCTTCTTCCTCGTTATTATAAATTCGTGAGCTACGTTCTTCAAACTCGAAGAATATTTTTAAATTCGATAAACCTG